AGGGTCCTTAGGCCAAATAATTGGAAGAAGAAGTGAAAGTGAAGTCATTCGGTCATGTCCAACTCTTTGTGACCCCATGGACTGTAGCCTGCCAGGCTCCTCTGCCCATGGGGATTCTCCAGGCAAGAATACTGGAGTGGGTTGCCATTTCCTTCTCCAGGGGATCTTCCTGACCTAGGGATCGAACCTGGGTCTCCCACATTGCAGGCAGAATCTTTACCCTCTGAGCCACTAAGGAAGCCAAATAATTGAAAAGTATCTATGTCCTAACAACTCAGTAGCCTCTTGGAGAAAAGAGAATATGCAGAAATTGACAAGGGTATTTTTGTTTCATTTTGAAGTAACCAAAATTATTTATGGATGTGTATGCCTGTCAGAATCGGACACAACTGAGCGACTGAACTGAACTCAACTGATGCCTGTCAGGCTCTGCACAAATTCTCAAACCTGAGGAATAGATTGGACACTGTCACCCTCATTTCTTGTTCTAAATTGATTTTCACATAGTACTTGATTTTAATCAGCACCAAAAACCCAACTTCACAAAGATATGACATCATCAAAAAGAATGTAGCATAATCTAATGTGTAGCTGTGAACTACTCCATTAGCAGTTTAAGTGGTGCGTGACAGATGTCATTGTCTTTCTCTTGAAAATTTAAATTATCCCATAGTGCCCCTGTGAGCTTGCTGCAGCTCCTTGGAGGTGACTTAACACAGTTGGTGAAACACAGATACAGACTGTTTCCAGAATATTACTCCTAAAAAGATAGCTGTCTGGCATCCTTCTCTGTTTTTGTTTTTTTTTACTACCAGTACTTTGATTTTCCTTCATGGGACCACCCCTCTCCCACTGTTATTTCATGTGGTTTGAGCAGCAGTCATCCCAGTCCTGGGCAACAGGGGAGACATGTTAACCAAGACCCAGCCAGCCAATCAGTGACTCAGGATCTGGTTATGGGATAATCACATGACCTAGGTAGGGCCAATGAGAGTCAGCCCTGGAACTCCAGCTAGAATTACAGAGAAAAGATGTTCGTTTCTGAGGTTTGCTCAGCTGGTAGATGTCAGCCTGGGGCTGTCAAAGCTCATCTTTGCCACAACATGGGAGAGACTGTTGAGAACGAAGCTGACAGAGAGGACACAGACACACATGCACACGTAAACATCATTGGAGAACCTGGATCCAGCCCTGCCTGAAGCCATTTGCCACTGGACTTCCCAATCCATAAGCCAATAAACTATTTTGATTTTTTTGGCTTAAAGCTGGTTGAATTGGATTTCTGCCACTTACAACTAAGAATCCTTACTAATGCTTCATGTTAAAGCACCATAGAAACAAAATTAGTCCCCAAAAGTCCAAAAGTTTCCTTCTAAAGTCAAGGGTCTCAGGATACTTTTGGAGCTCAACCCCAAAAATACCTGATGGAAACAGTGGGCCTGGGGTCAAATTCTGGCTCCACGAATTTCAAGTTACATAACATCTCTCAGCCTCAGTCTCGTCTATAAAGCCAGGTTGTTGTTTAGATTAAATGGAATAATCCATGTATCATACAGTTAGTTCTTATTGTTGCTGCTATTACTGTCAGCCTTTGTTTGGTAGATAAAGAAACTCAAGTTCAGAGAAGCAGCTTGCTAAAGGTCAGATGCTAGACAGCAGCAGAATTCAGTCCTGAACCCAAGAATTCTGACTCCCTTGTCCAGAGTTCTTTCCACACAACCCACTTCTAGGGGAAAAGAGGCCTAGAAAGTAAGGCAAGATGGGAGAGAAACAAAAGTACCCAGGGCACAGACCTGCCTTGGGCAGTGGTTAAAAGTACAGACTCTGGGGACTTCCCCAGCAGTCCAGTGGTTAAGACGCCACACTCCCAATGCAGGGGGCACCAGTTCAATACCTAGTGTGGGAACTACAATCCTGTGTGACACAAGGCATGGCCTAAATAAATAAAAAAATTTTTTGAAGAGTATAAACGTTGATGTTCACCTGCCTGGATTTGAATCCTGACTCTAGTACTTATATTTCGGGGTGTATTTTTCACTCTGTAAGATGGGTATAACAGGCTCTATTTCAGATGGTTTTAATTAAATAATACTGATCTTCCTGCTTCCAGCCTGTCCCCCTCATGTCTATTCTATACACAGCAGCCAAAGGAATGCCCGTTTCATTGGTAATAAAACCCAAAAATCTCTGTAATGTCCTACCAGGCCCCTGCATTTCCGAGAGGTCAGGGTAAGGGAAAGGCCTTTTCGGGTTACCCCCTTCCTGGGTGCAGAGGGATGAGGTCAGGTTTCCAAAGAGCTAAGACAAGAAAGGCTCATTAAATCACCTGCCACCATGTCTGTAAGTGACCTTCTGTGGTCACACCACAGGCCACAGGGCCAAACATGCGCCAGTCTCAGACTAATGCTCAATGAGCCAGCACACCCGAAACCCCAACTAGCCAAAACCAAAGTCCTCATAGCAACTCAGCCTTGCCCCTGAGTCCAGGGAGGCCCTGGCAGATGTAAATCACAGACAAAAGAACAAAGATCCTTTCCCCTAGAAAGTCCCAGATATTTTGACATTTTAGGGATTGGTGGGGGATTCCAGAAATCTTTCAAATCCTATTGGGTCTGAAATTAGATTTCCTCTTTCCTCCTTCCACTGGCAAAAGGGAAGGAGAGGTAAAACACAGAGATATTATACATCATCCCAAGAAAGACAATCAGAGAGATACGAACATAAAACCCACAAATCCCAGATTCTGAAGCAGATATAGGTGAAGTAAGATAGACTGGGATTTTCTGATGGGAGAAAAAGACCCTTCCTATCATTAACCTTTTTAGTTCCAGTCAGCACCGACCCCCCACCCTGTATACCTGTTGTGACCTCCTTGCTCCCCGACAAATGTCTCATATTTGAAAGTTCACACAACACACACACAATGACAATGTACACTCTACTTATTACATGCCTATTTCCAGAGATGTTCATCTCAGGAGTTTGGAGTTCTCACGTGTATTATGGGGGGTGAGGGGAGGGATAAGAAGTCGAACCTAGTCCATTCCACTTGCCCCAATGCTGAAGACCTGAGCGCGGGACATCACGGTTTCTACCCCCAGTCAGTTCTTCTACAACCCTTGCTGTGTACCAGGGGACACAATCCAGGATTCATTTCCAATTCCTCTCTGTCCCCCACACACTTGAGCCCCAGAGACACCAAGTGAGAACATAACAACAAATCAAACGTCTCCTCTGCAACCTCTGCCTGCCAAGACTAGCTATCTAATTGCTGTTAATTGCATTAATTGTATAGCTCTGAAGAGTTAAGACTCTTCCTTCTAGCTGAAAGCAGGGTCAAGGAAAGGAATTATGAACAACAAAAGCTCCACACAGCAAAACTCTTCTCTCACGCCCGACCCTAACACCCTCCATGGCTCCACAGTTGGACATAACCGAGAGCCCAGCAGGACAAAGTGGTGAGAAGCAGCTGAGCGGGGACTTCCCTGGTGGTCCAATGGTTAAGACTCCTCACTCCCAACGCAGGGGGCCTGGGTTCAGTCCCTGATCGGGGAACTAGATCCCACGAGCCACAACTAAAGATCCCCCACATACTGCAACGAAGACTGAAGATCCTGAGTGCTGCAATTAAGACTTGGCACAGCCAAAATAAAGATAAATACTGAGGAAAAAAAAAAAGAAGTAGCTGACTCTTCTCCATGGCAGGAGAGCCAGAAGGGTCCCCTGAGAACCAGTTCTGGTACCTTACTCTCTGCTCACACCTAAAACAGCACCCCTCTCCCTGCCTGGTCTCCCCAGCACCCCTTCTCTATTCTTCCGGGCCTATGACCCATCTTCCCTCTAGATGGCTCTGGAAAGACCCATCACAGACACCCTTCCGCATCTCCCCTCCCTCCCCTACTCTGGACACAGTAAGAGGCTAACCAAACTGCAGACAAGAGCTCCATGGACAAGCAAAATGTCACTGCTCCCAGCTGAGATTAGGCAGAAGTGGGCTGGGGGTGTTCCATGTCATTTCAGGCAAACAGAGCCCAACTCTGGGGGAAAACAAACACAATCCGGTAGCCTGGGAGGGAAAAGCCCCATCTCCCATAAAAAGATCCAGGCATCTCTTTTAGCCAACCCCAAGATTTCCAGAGACCTCTCTAGTCATCAGGATAGGCAGCTGAGGCCTCTGTGAACCTCCTATTAGGAACAACTCCTCCTGCCAGGGACCCTGCAGCAGCAATGCCAATGCTGTTCTTTCAAGGGGCCTCTCTTACACCCGACCTCACCCCACCCAGCATAAGGCTCTGGGCCAAGGGTGAGGGCTGGGAGCAGCCTCTATCACTGGGAGGCAACCCAGATGTCAGAAGTGACAGATGTCATCCACGACGCCAAACTCGGCCTGCAGCAACGTCAGAGGCGGGACACAGGAGCCCCAAAGGCTGAGGTCAGGGGTCTCTAACCCCTAAGCAAAGCCTGCGGGTTCAAGGTGAATGGCTCCCAAGCACATCTCCCAAAATGGAGCGTCAGAGGAGAGGGCTGACCCGTCACAGCAAAGGGGGAGTGGAGCCGCTAAAACCCGGTGGGCGGCGGTGGGGTTAGGGGAGACCTCTGAGGAGGTAGGGGCTGGGCTTTCTCTTTTGAGTCCCAGAACATACCTGGTCCCTCCGGCCTCCCCCACATGGACATGCCTGGAACTTCCCCTCAGAGGTCACAGATCAACTTTCTGCAGCGAAGGAAGCGCGCGCGGCAAAGAGCCGGTGAGAGGGCGAGGGGGATGGGGGGGCTTCCACCCGGCGCCCCAAGTGCATGAAAAACTGAAGTCCTGGAAGATGGGAGGGGGCTGGCCCACGCAGACCACCGGCAATCCGCCCCGCCCCCCCTCCGCCGCAGGGCCTGGCCCGGGGCAACCTCTGGGCCTTGATGGTTCCCGCGGCCGGGGCTGGGGGAAGCAGGAAAGGGAATACCCGGCACTTCAGGCATTCGAGTTTCGGGACCAGGTGGCCCGGTCCTACCTGCAGTTCCTGAAATTCTCCCTCCAGCTCGTGCCACTCGCGCTCGCAACGCTCCAGCTGGCCGGACATGGTGCAGTGGTGCGAGGCGGCGGCGGCTGCTCCCGCAGCGTGGCGCGGCAAGCCGCCCGCACCCCACGCGTGTCCGCCGGCCGGCCGCCTTCCCAGGCACCAGCTGTTCCTGCGCAGCCCGAGCCACGCGCGCACCTGACGTCACAGCCCCGGCCCCGGCGCCCGCCCCACCCCCTCGCCGGGAGGCAGCCCCCTGCGCATGCGCACGCGCCTCCCCGGTCCCGCCCCCGCGCGCCAGGCGCCCGCGGGGGGAATTGTTGTACCTTTGCGGGACTTGGCTGGGTCTCTCTGTGTCTCTTTAGAAATGCTTCGGCCCTTACGGAATCTCTCATGCCTAGCTGGGATGGGGAAGTTGTCCGCAAACCGCGTTTGTAGAGCTTATTTTACCTAGATTGTGTGTATTTGGGGTGTCTGGGGTCGGAGGGAAGAAGGAGTTTGCTGGGAGGGAGCGTTGCCTTAACGGAGCCGAAGCCAGCCACGGCCTGAAATGCTAAAACTGACATTGACCATCCAGCAAGGTCGCCGGTCGGGGCGGGGAAGCGCAGAGAGGGCCCTGTCATCTCATATTGTCATTATTTATTGCAACTAATACATCCTAGATCCTGCCCTCTAAGGCTCTGGGTGACTTGCCTGACAGCTGTTTCTGTCATTCAAATGACTCAGCCACCTCATTGCTAATTGAATCCCCTCTCCCGCCTGGTCCTACAAGCTCTATCCCTGCCTAGCTTTCCAGGCATATCTCCTATCTCACCCCTCTTCAGCCGCTGTTTTTTAGTTCCTGCTTTTGCATGAAATATTCTTCCCTGTAGCTCCTCACTTGGTTTTCTTTTTCTCATCATTCTCTTCTTAGCTCAAATGACACCTGTATTGGTTCCCTAGGGCTGCCCTAACTACACACTGGGTTAAATACCACAAACTGGGTGACTTAAACAACAGAAATGTGTTATCTCATGGTTCTGGAGGCTAGACGTGAGAAATCAAGGAGACAACAAATTCACACTCCTTGGAATCTTGCTTCTTCATAGCTTATGGTGGTGGTCACCAACCTCAGCATTCCTTGGCTTGCAGCTTCACCCCTTCCAGCCTCTGCGTTCTGTTGTTACATGGTTCTCCTTCCCTGCATGCTTGTCTCTGTGTGTCCTCTCCTCTGACAAGGACACCAGCCTCCTTGGATTAAGGGCCCACATGTCTCATGGCCAAAAAAACAGAACGTAAAAGTAATATTATAACAAATTCAATAAAGACTTTAAAAACAGTCCACATGAAAAAAGGAAAAAATGGAGGGGGGTGGGAGGGAGGTTGAAGAGGGAAGGAACATATGTATACTTATGGCTGATTCATGTTGTTGTACAGCAGAAGCCAACATATTTTAAAGCAATCATCCTCCAACTAAAAGAATTTTTTTTAAGCAGAACGCTCTGGGTACACTGGACTCATGTTTATACTTGGCCATGGGCTGGAACAGAGGAACAAATGTCCCGTTCACAAAGGGCTTGCCAGTCACCACAGTCCCCACCATGCTCAATTGTACTGCCCCAGTTTATTTCATGTGGACTGGAGACTGTTGAGTTTGAGACTTCTGATATAAAATGTAATGAAGCTTGCAAACCTGTATAAATCATGCACATGGTGAAAGAAAAAACAGAAAACAGTTTATTTAATTGGGGTTAGTAGACTCAAAAAAGGAAACCCAGGGCCTTGAAGGATGAATTAAATGTCACCAAGCATGAGGAGAAGGGGACAACAGAGGATGAGACGGTTGGATGGCATCATCAACTCAACAGATATGAGTTTGAGAAAACTCTGGGAGATAGTGAAGGACAGGGAAGCCTGGCATGCTGTAGTCCATAGGATCACAGAGACAAGACTGAGCGACAGAACAATGGCAACAAGCAGAGGATTTTGGAAGAAGATCCCACTTTACCTATGCTTGCAGTCATTCAGTTCTGGGTGGAAGAGGTTGGCCCTACCCCCCCCCCTCCCCCCCGCCCCAGGTAGAGTTGGGCAAGTACACCTTCTCCACTAGCTGGCCAGGTGTCAGGCTGCAAATCTTAGGAACTGTTCTTCATAGGGTCAGGACTCCTGGTGATTATTCACAAGCCCTTCTGTAGATGGCGCAGGCTGTTCACCCCCATCAGTGTAGCCGCTTAGGTACCAGAAGTATCAGATCTTACCTGGCTGCCCCCACCATCACCACCCTCCCACCCACTCGCAATCCCCTGTCCCGGTTTCTGCCCAAAGAGCTGTCAGACTCACTCATCAGCTTCCTGACACTGGATCTGCCTCTTCTTAGGAACTTTGAGCATGATAAATGAAAACATGTGTTGTAAGAGTATCCTCCCCACTTCTTCCCCACATCACCAGGGGGAAATATCTTCTATTTGTTCATTTTAAGGCCCTCTACTTAGAGGCCTACCCACCAGAGAATTTTCTCAGTTATCTGGGAAGAGACATAAAAGTAGCAAAACAGAAGGAATTCCCTGGCAGTCCAGTGGTTAGGGCTCTGTGCTTTCACTGCTGAGGGCTCAAGTTCAATCCCTGGTCAGGAAACTAGGATCCTATAATCCTCATGGCACAGCCCCAGAAAATAAGTAGCACACACATAGCACTCGCTATGTGCTCGGAGTTCTATGCACTATACGTATATGTATTAACACATTAAGTCCTCACAATGACCTGATGAGGAAGGACTTTTATTATCTCTATTTGATACATAAGTATGGTTTCTCCAACTTTTCAGTGTGCTTATGAACCACCTTCTGGAGCTCTTAAAATGCAAGTTCTGACTCAGTAGGTTCTAGGAAGGACCCAAGATTCTATAATTCTACAAGCTCCCAGCCAATACTACTGGTCAAAGGACCACACTTGCAATAGCAAGAGACCAAGGTGCAGAGAGGTGAAAAGACTTTCCCCAAATCATCCAGCTACTGGTAGTGGTGTTACTTTACTTATGCAATGCAGGATGCCAAGACCCTATTCTACAGAAATAGCAGCTCCCAATGAGAAGTGAAAATTCTAAGGATTTTCCTTCATCTGCTTCCCACAAATGCCCTTGCTCAAAATAGTCCCAGAGATTGTAACAAGCAATTTGTGCAAAGATGGTTATAGCAGAATTTTTCAAATCAGTCACACACTGGAAGCATCCCAAGTGCCCCACAACAGCGAAATGGTTAAGTAAGCTATAGTCTACAGTGGTTAGGACTGAGTGTTTCACTGCGGTGGCCGGGGTCCAATTCCTGCTTGGGGAACGAAGATCCCACAAGGCGGGCAGTGCCACAAAAAAATAAAAAAGTACAAAAACAAAACAAAAAAGATATAGTCTTTCTATTTTATGTAATATTACATGGCTGTTAAAAATCGCTATGGGAACTAAATGGATACTTTTAAACAGGTATATTAAATCATGTGAAGTAAGAAAGTGGAGCCCCAAAATAATGTGTATACACTGATTAAAGTTATATGATCATTCATGTATGCTAAAAAAGACTGGGTGAATTTAGTATAACAGAAATAGTCCATAAAATAAATTGATGGCATCTTTTCTTCCTGAAATGTTTAGGTGTTTGATAGAAATTTTACACCCCTATCTTTCTGTTCATGGGTTTATAATGTAAGCAGTATTATCTATTAAAATTCATTTGTTTAATATTTTCTCTCCAGGTAGCAAAATGTCCTTCATGTCTTTATTCAGTTATTTGCATTACTGGGCCTACCTGGGACTGTAAAGTCCTGGCTGGCTGGGGCGGTGTGGTTTACTAGTCAACCTGAGTTCAAATCTCTTTGAACTGCTGGAGAGGTGACCTTGAGTATATAACTGGCCTTCTCTGTGAACTGAAGGTTGCTCTCATAGGATTGTTGTGAGGACTAAATGCAATATGTAGATGAAGTGCCTGATGTGTAAGCACCCGAAAGCACTAACTTTACAAAGCTGAGTCTTAAAAAACTAACAGGATTTCCCTGGTGGTCCTGTGGTTAAGATTCTGCACTTCCACTGCAGAGGGCACATGTTCCATCCTTGGCGGGAGAGCTGAAGATCACATGCCTTGAGATACAGCCAAAAAAAACCAAAAAATTATTTTGGGATACTTTAAGATTTACCAACAGAACTGCAAAGATAATTTCCATTTACTCTTCTTCACTCCTTTTCCCCTTATGTTGACAATTTACATAACGATGACATCTTTATCAAAACTAAGAAATGAACGTAGGCATATGACTATGAACTAAATTCCAAAATTTATTCAGGTTTTACCAGTCTTTCCACTGATGTCCGTTTTCTGTTCTGCAATTCAATCTGACACTGCATTTAAGTATCATGTCTCTATAGTCTCCTGGTCTCTGATAGTATCTCAGTCTTTCCTTGTTTTTTCATGGTCTTGACAGTTTTGAAGAGTAAACTGTATATTTTTAGTAATAGTTTTATTGAGCTGTCAAGATGATTAATTTTATGTGTCAACTGACTGAGCCACATATCCAGCTCAGATATCCAGCTAAACATCATTTGGGTGTGTCTGCGAAGGTCTCTCCAGAAGAGATTATTTGGATCAGTAAACTGAGTAAAGCAGACTGTCTTCCCCAATATAAGAGCCCCAGCCAATCAACTGAGGATCTGAATAGAATAAAAAGGTATGGGAAGACAGCATTCTCTCTCCCTCTGCCTGACCCATTAAGTCTCCTGCCCTGGGACTAGGATTTACACCTTATCAGTTCTCTTAATTCTAAAGCCTTCAGCTTAAGGGATTTACCTGGTGGTCCAGTGGTTAAGAATCCACCTGCCAATGCAGGAAATCTGGGTTTGATCCCTGGTGATAGAACTAAGATCCCACATACTGACGAGCAGCTAAACCCACGCGCTTCAATAACCAAGCCCAAGCACCACAACTAGAGAGTCCACGAGCTATAACAAAAGATCCCACAAGAGGCAAGTAAGATCTGACACGGCCAAATAACAATAAAATAAATAAATACTCTTAAAAAGAAATAAAGCCTTTAGTTCAGACTCAGTTCAGTTCAGTT